CCTCTTCTTCATTCCTTCTACATCAACATGTGTCCCCTCTCTTCTTCATGTCTCTTCTACATCAACATGTTCCCCTCTTCTTCATGTCTCTTCTACATCAACATGTGTCCCCTCTTCTTCATGTCTCTTCTACATCAACATGTGTCCCCTCTTCTTCATGTCTCTTCTACATCAACATGTGTCCCCTCTTCTTCATGTCTCTTCTACATCAACATGTGTCCCCTCTTCTTCATGTCTCTTCTACATCAACATGTGTCCCCTCTTCTTCATGTCTCTTCTACATCAACATGTGTCCCCTCTTCTTCATGTCTCTCTTCACACATGTCCCCTCTCTTCTTCATGTCTCTTCTACATCAACATGTGTCCCCTCTTCTTCATGTCTCTTCTACATCAACATGTGTCCCCTCTTCTTCATGTCCTTCTACATCAACATGTGTCCCCCTTCTTCATGTCTCTCCTACATCAACATGTGTCCCCTCTTCTCATGTCTCTTCTACATCAAACAGTGTCCCCTCTTTCTTCATGTCTCTTCTTCATCAACATGTGTCCCCTTCTCCATGTCTCTTCTACATCAACATGTGTCCCCTCTTCTGTCATGTCTCTTCTACATCAACATGTGTCCCCTCTTCTTTCAGTCTCTTCACATCAACATGTGTCCCCTCTTTTCATGTCTCTTTTACATCAACATGTGTCCCCTCTTCTTCATGTCTCTTCTACATCCAACATGTGTCCCCTCTTCTTCATGTCTCTCTTCATCAACATGTGTCCCCTCTTCTCCATGTCTCTTTCTACATCAAACATGTGTCCCCTCTTCTTCATGTCTCTTCTACATCACATGTGTCCCCTCTTCTCCATGTTCTTCTACATCAACATGTGTCCCCTCTTCTTCATGTCTCTTCTTCATCAACATGTGTCCCCTCTGTGGAAAGAGACTCTGAAAGTTTCAGGAACAAAGATTCTCTCTCTTTTTGATCCATTTCTATAAAAACCTGTCTGAAAATGAGCTGATCAGATTTTGGTCACTTTATGATGTCATAGCGATGTGTTGTCTTGTGTAACCATTAGCCAATCAGCAACCAAGGTAACCCCCCCCCCTTATCACCTGAATCTCCCCTAGAGCTCCATTGAGTTCTTTGTAACCAAATGTCTCTCAGAGGGGCGTGGGGAGGGGCTCCTTGTTTTCATCTGAAGTAACAGACAGAGAATCAGCACTTTGGAAACACGGCTGAAACAGAGGGGGTTATGGGTAATGCTGCAATGATCTGTTTGGTGTTTCAGCCAATCAGAGACAGGCTCTGGATATATCTGAGACCTGTGATATACTGACGAAGAACAGTGTAGTAGGGGACCTTTAAAGCTCTTAATGTTGTTGTAAAGCACTTTGAATTGCCTTGTGTTGAAAGGTGCTCTATAAATAAACTTGCTTCGCCTTAAAGGTGACGCGGCCGTTAGCTTCCTGCAACGCCTGGCTCAACGCGCTGCTCTACTTCCTGACGGGGGATAACAGCGCCCCCTGCTGCTGGCCGGCAGAGCGAGCGGGGCGAGCGGAGCGCCGGGATCATCGGGGCGGCGCCACCTGGTGGCCGCTGAAGATCCTGAAGAAAGAGGGCGGAGGCGGGGGGGAGGAGGACGTGGAGGCGGGGGAGAAAGTGGAGCGAGTCGTCGTGGAGAACGAGTCCAAGTCCTCCAGAGTCATCTTCTAGAGACTTGAACCTGTTCGTGATGTCACGGGAAAGACGGGAATTTTCTGTTTTGTGCTTGTGCTCCGAAAAATGTACACATTTGAACGAATTCCCTCCTATCACTAAATGACTGCATAACACAAGGTGGTTGGAAAGGAGAGAGAGACTTAGAGCAGAGTGGATAAGGAATGTGAGTCGGAAAGAATATACATGTATATTCAAATCAATGAAACGACAATATCATTTAAAACCACAAGATACTGAGTTTATGGATTATATATGAGAACTGAGAAAACTAATGATTATACTTATCAAACATGTTCTAGCACTGCTTTTAGTTGTTTTGTATGCAGTGTTTTTTTACGTTTTATTTAGTAATTTGTACCTTTTGAATTAGTCAAGAATGACACCTCCTTGATGCAAGGATACAAGGAGGTGGGAAAGGAAAGAGAGACTTTGGAACATGGAGAATGTTGGGATTTTCTTTTTTTATGCTTGTGCTCCGAAAAAGTCAGAATTGTAATGTTTAAATCTACGAACTCCTTCTTAACACTAATTGGCAGAATTATCATTTTAATAAGTGTTTTATTTAGTAATTTGTACCTTTTTGAATCAGTCAAGAAATGCCCTCAACGATGGTCCCACAGGTGGTGGGAAAGAAAGAGAGACTTTGGACCAGAGTGGATAAGAAATGTGTAGAATATAAATGTATATTTAAAATGAATAAAATCCCCCAAGAGAAATTTGACAATATAATATAAAACCACAAGATACTGAGTTTATTGATTATTTATAAAACTGAAATGTAAGATTTATACTTCTATATCTAGCGCTGCTTTTATTGTTTACTCCCAGAAGAAATCTATATTTTTGAGAGCACAAATCATCAGTTTTTAAAAAATGTTCAATTAAGCAATCAAAGTAAATGAAACTGTTCGAAGGTTAAAGCCGTCTGACTTTAGACTTTTTAATCATTTCTAAGACATTTTCTGAATTTGTCAGATTTATTTGAGACTTATGAGGACTTTTAAATACTTAAGACTTTCAAGGTTCTAGGTTCTTTATTTTTGTCATACGAACATATCTACAGAGTAGTTATGTTGATGAACATCTTAGGTCACTGGCTTCTCCAACAGTGCAACACAATAACACAGAAAAACAGAAACATCTAGTGCAAGAACATTTAAAAAAAGTAAATACAAAAAGAAAAATAGTTTAAAAAAAGTCAAATAGTGAAATAAGAGACTATATGCAAGCTAATGGAATGATATATTAGATACATAATTACTAAGTAGCAGATGAATGTTATGGATGTTGTTTCAAAGTTCAGGTGTTTAACAGTCTTATGGCCGGTGGGATGAAGCTGTCTCTGAGTCTGGTGGTTTTAGTCCGGATGCTGCGGTACCGCCTGCCAGACGGCAGCAGACTGAACAGTTTGTGGCTGGGGTGATGGGGGTCTTTGATCATCCTGAGGGCCTTCTTCCTAGCCGCTGGGAGTAGAGGTCCTCCATGGAGGGCAGCTCCGTCCTGGTGATGTGCTGTGCAGCTTTCACCACCCTCTGTAAAGCCTTACGATTGAGGGCGGTGCAGCTGCCGTACCAGGCCGTGATGCAGCCAGTCAGGATGCTCTCTATGGTGCACCTGTAGAAGGTCAGGATCCTCTCTATGGTGCACCTGTAGAAGGTCAGGGTCCTCTCTATGGAGCACCTGTAGAAGGTCAGGATGCGCTCTATGGAGCCACATGGCTCTCTATGGTGCACCTGTAGAAGGTCAGGATGCTCTCTATGGTGCACCTGTAGAAGGTCAGGATCCTCTCTATGGTGCACCTGTAGAAGGTCAGGATCTCTCTATGGTGCACCTGTAGAAGGTCAGCTCTCTATGGTGCACCTGTAGAAGGTCAGGATGCTCTCTATGGTGCACCTGTAGAAGGTCAGGATCCTCTCTATGGTGCACCTGTAGAAGGTCAGGATCTCTCTATGGTGCACCTGTAGAAGGTCAGGATCCTCTCTATGGTGCACCTGTAGAAGGTCAGGATCTCTCTATGGTGCACCTGTAGAAGGTCAGGATCCTCTCTATGGTGCACCTGTAGAAGGTCAGGATCCTCTCTATGGTGCACCTGTAGAAGGTCAGGATCCTCTCTATGGTGCACCTGTAGAAGGTCAGGATCTCTCTATGGTGCACCTGTAGAAGGTCAGGATCTCTCTATGGTGCACCTGTAGAAGGTCAGGATCTCTCTATGGTGCACCTGTAGAAGGTCAGGATGCTAGCTATGATGCCACCTGTAGAAGGTCAGGATGCCTCTCTATGGTGCACCTGTAGAAGGTCAGGATGCCTCTCTTATGGATGCACCTGTAGAAGGTCAGGATCCTCTCTATGGAGCACCTGTAGAAGGTCAGGGATCCTCTCTATGGTGCACCTGTAGAAGGTCAGGATGCCTCTCTATGGATGCACCTGAAGAAGTTTGCAGAGTATCCTGGAGTCCATGTTGAACCTCCTCAGCCTGCGGAGGAAGAAGAGCCGCTGTCGAGCTTTCTTGGTGATGGTGGTGGTGTGAAGAGTCCATGTCAGGTCCTCAGTGAAGAGTCCATGTCAGGTCCTCAGTGATGAGTCCACGTCAGGTCCTCAGTGATGAGTCAGGTCCTCAGTGATGAGTCAGGTCCTCAGTGATGAGTCCATGTCAGGTCCTCAGTGATGAGTCAGGTCCTCAGTGATGTGGACACCGAGGAACCTGAAGCTGCTGACTCTCTCCATCGTAGTCCCATTGAAGGCGATGGGGGCGTGTCCCTCTCCCTGCTGCTTCCTGTAATCCACAATCAGCTCCTTGGTTTTGCTGACGTTGAGATGGAGGTTGTTATCCTGGCACCAAGATGTCAGGTTTTCGACCTCCTCTCTGTACGCCGTCTCGTCGTCGGTGATCTGGCTGATGTCGGTCCTGTCGTCAGCAAACTTCACGATGGTGTTGGAGCTGTGCATGGCCACGCAGTCTTGAGTGAACAGGGAGTAGAGGAGAGGGCTGAGCATGCAGCCTTGAGGGGCTCCGGTGTTGAGGGTCAGGGTGGAGGATGTGATGTTTCCCACCCGCACTGCCTGGGGTCTGCCCGTCAGGAAGTTCAGGATCCAGTCACAGAGGGCGCTGTTGAGCCCGAGGTCTCTGAGCTTGATGGCCAGCTTGGAGGGCACAATGGTATTGAAGACTGAACTGTAGTCAATGAACAGCAATCAAATTAAATGAAACTGTTAAAGGATTAAAGCCGTCTGACCTTTGACCCTCTGCCGTGTTAGTCGACCTGACTCAGTGTTACGTGATAATATGTCCGTGTTGTAAACCCGTCTCTCTCCATGTGTTGAAATGTGTGTATTAAAGTTGTTGACCTCAGCTCTCTGGTTCATGGTTAACGTGAAGATCCGGCCCGCTTCATAAATCATTCATTTCTATAACATTTACTGCAGGATATTTTAACACCAAAACACAGATTACTAATGAAAAATATACACAAGTAATTTTGGAAAGGTCTTATGCACATTGCAGGAAATGGATGTGTGAGAAAATACTTCTTTTTTTTTTTAATTGGCCTAAAACTACACTGAACAAAAATATAAACGCAACACTTTTGTTTTTGCTCTCATTTTTCATGAGATGAACTGAAAGATCTAAAACATTTTCTATATACACAAAATAACCATTTCTCTCAAATATTGTTCAAAAATCTGTGATAGTGAGCACTTCTCCTTTGCCGAGATAATCCATCCCACCTCACAGGTGTGCATATCAAGATGCTGATTAGACAGCATGATTATTGCACAGGTGTGCCTTAGGCTGGCCACAATAAAACTCTGAAACGTGCAGTTTTGCTTTATTGGGGGGGTCTGGGGGGGTCCGAAAACCAGTCAGTATCTGGTGTGAGGGGTAGGGTTAGGGTAATGTTGTGAATCGAGTGGCCCATGGTGGTGGTGGGGTTATGGTATGGGCAGGCATATGTTATGGACGACTAACACAGGCCACTCGATTCACAACATTACCCTAACCCTACCCCTAACCCTACCCCTCACACCAGATACTGACTGGTTTTCGGACCCCCCCCAATAAAGCAAAACTGCACGTTTCAGAGTGGCCTTTTATTGTGGCCAGCCTAAGGCACACCTGTGCAATAATCATGCTGTCTAATCAGCATCTTGATATGCCACACCTGTGAGGTGGGATGGATTATCTCGGCAAAGGAGAAGTGCTCACTATCACAGATTTTTTCAGATTTGTGAACAATATTTGAGAGAAATGGTTATTTTGTGTTTATAGAAAATGTTTTAGATCTTTGAGTTCATCTAATGAAACATGGGAGCAAAAACAAAAGTGTTGCGTTTATATTTTTGTTCAGTGTAAATATGACAACAAATATTTATATCAAATGTTTTTTGTAATATGGAATAAAAGCTGAGAAATGTGTAAATGAATATAGCTTAATACAATGAGAAAATGAAGTGTTGTTTATTCTTAAAGGGTCAATTATTTTATATTCACATTCACATTTATTTAAAAAAACGTCTTTTTAAAAATAGTAAACATTTATTCCCTTATTTTGACTTTTACATTTATTTACTAAAACGACCCAACTATTTGGGTCGTTCCTTGATGAAATAATTCATTTAACATTTTTGTATTTTTAAAATTAAATTGTAAAATATTAAAATTAAATTATTGATTTAATTACAAATAAAGGTGATTATATATGAATCAGATTGACTGCTGACTTGTGTTGGATGGCAGTACTGCTGCTCACAAAATAATTCCGATGGACTGTCCACTCCAAGTAGGGAATGAGTTCTTACCCCAAGTGAAGGAGTTCAAGTATCTCGGGGTCTTGTTCTCGAGTGAGGGAACAATGGAGCGTGAGATGGGCCGGAGAATCGGAGCAGAGGGAGCGGTACTGCAGTCGCTTTACCGCACCGTTGTGACGAAAAGGGAGCTGAGCCAGAAGGCAAAGCTCTCTGTCTACCGGGCCATTTTCGTTCCTACCCTCACCTATGGTCATGAAGGATGGGTCATGACCGATATAACTAGATCGCGGATACAAGCGGCCGAGATGGGTTTTCTCCGCAGGGTGGCTGGCGTCTCCCTTAGGGATAAGGTGAGAAGTTCGGTCATCCGGGAGGGACTCGGAGTTGAGCCGCTCCTCCTTCACGCCGAAAGGAGCCAGTTGAGGTGGTTCGGGCACCTAGTTAGGATGCCACCTGGGCGCCTCCCTAGGGAGGTGTTCCAGGCACGTCCAGCTGGGAAGAGACCAAGGGGTAGACCTAGGACCAGGTGGAGGGATTATATCTCTTCGCTGGCCTGGGAGCGCCTTGGGATCCCCCAGTCAGAGCTGGTTGATGAGGGGAAAAGAAAGTTTGGGGCTCTCTGCTGGAACGAGACCCCCGAGATCCAACAACGGATAAGCGGGAGAAGATGTATGGATGGACAAAATAATTCATAACAAAGACATTTTATTTTAATAAATGAGGTAAGACTCCTATTTTTTTAATCAAGCCTCTGTGATCAATCATTTCACACATTCAGTGATCAGTAAGTATTAAAACAAAGTTACACAACATCTTCAAAAAGTTCAGTGGAAAATCAAAAGTGAATCTCTGTTGCTGAAGGTCCTTAAAAAGAAACAGTAAAAAAGACGTAGAGGTGACGTAGTGTTGCATCATGGGAGTTGTGGTCTTCATTATTGACGTTACATTGTTAAATTCTACGATGACTTCTACTGTCCTCTTCAGGTGAGAGTTCTTGAGTTTATTTAATCAGTTATTTCTAGTTTCAGAACCAATTAAATCACTTTTTTGAATATTTCCTTTTTGCATATTTATTTCACAGCGTCTGCTTTTCTTTGATCTTCTCCTGTTCTTATTGAACACTTATAGGACTTTTAAAGAAATATGAGGACTTTTAAAGAAATATGAGGACTTTTAAAGACGTATGAGGACTTTTAAAGAAGTATGAGGACTTTTAAAGAAGTATGAGGACTTTTAAAGAAGTATGAGGACTTTTAAAGACGTATGAGGACTTTTAAAGAAGTATGAAAACTTTTAAAGAAGTATGAGGACTTTTAAAGACGTATGAGGACTTTTAAAGACGTATGAGAAATATGAGGACTTTTAAAGAAATATGAGGACTTTTAAAGACGTATGAGGACTTTTAAAGAAATATGAGGACTTTTAAAGACGTATGAGGACTTTTAAAGACGTATGAGGACTTTTAAAGAAGTATGAGGACTTTTAAAGAAGTATGAGGACTTTTAAAGACGTATGAGGACTTTTAAAGAAGTATGAAAACTTTTAAAGAAGTATGAAAACTTTTAAAGAAGTATGAAAACTTTTAAAGAAGTATGAGGACTTTTAAAGACGTATGAGGACTTTTAAAGACTTTTAACACATTTTAAGTCTTATTTAGACTTAAATACTTTTTAAGACTCCCAGCTGTTGTCTCTAACTATCCGGTAGTTGAGTCTCCGGTAGTAGCTTTTAGATAATTATACCGTTTAATACTTATTACAATGTTAAAGACTTTTTAGAACTTATTAAGAGTTTTTTAATGCAGTCTCACACTTTTTGAGACTTCAAAATTCTTCCCAGAGGTCGTTGAGTCTCCGGTAGTTTTCAGATTTATTGTTTTTTAATATGAATCTGTTATTATATATTAATATTGTTAATCTGTTTTAAGTATCAGCAATTATCTCCGTCAGTAAACGAGTTCCCAGCGGTCGCCATCGATCAGGCGGTAGTTGAGTCTCCGGTAGTTATTCATCTGTTATTATATATTAATACTGTTAATCTGCATCGGCTTTAAACCTCCTTAGCTAAGGTAAGGTAAGGTATCAGCTATTGTCTCGGTCAGTGAACGAGCTCCCAGCGGTCGTCTGTGATCAGACGGTAGTTGTTTCTCCGGTAGTGTTTGGGGTGTTCTCGGCGCTGCCTCCACACCTCCTCGTACAGACTCCTGACGGCAGGCGGCAGCGGGGGGAACTGAGCGGTGTCAGCGAGCATCGAGCAGTAATCCCACTGCTGCTGCTGGAGCACCATCAGGTGGCGCTGCTGAACGCCTCGCTGCTCCTTCTCCTGCAGCTCCTCCAGCACCTCCTGCTCCATCAGAGCAGCCAAGGGCAACGAGACGGAGCCATCCAGCACCGCCAGGGCGAACTGCACCTGAACGCACCACAGGGAGTCATTAGGATCGACTAAAACAACCTCTGTGGATTAAACGAGGCTTCACTTAAAGACTTCAGACTGCTATAGACTTAGTACCACCTATTAAGACTTTTTAACACGGATTAAGAATTGTGTAGACTGTTTCAGAAAGTTTAAGACTTTTTCAATTCTTATTCAGACTTTTTTTCGGACGGTTTAAGGCGGTTTTAAGGACTTTTTAAAAGTCCTAAATGGTCTTTAAGACTTATTCTGACTTTTTAAAGACTTATTAGAACCTTTAACACATTTTAAGACTTATTTAGACATAGAGACTTTTTAAGGCTCCCAGCTGTTGTCTCTTAATATCCGGTAGTTGAGTCTCTGGTAGCTTTTGGATAATTATAATATATATAATATATATAATTATACCGTTTAAGACTTTCTTAGAAGGTTTAAGACTTTCTCAGACGCTTTAAGACTTTCTCAGACAGTTTAAGACTTTCTCAGACGGTTTAAGACTTTCTTAGAAGGTTTAAGACTTTCTCAGATGCTTTAAGACTTTTTCAGACAGTTTAAGACTTTCTCAGACGGTTTAAGACTTTCTCAGACGGTTTAAGACTTTCTCAGACGGTTTAAGATGGTTTAAGACTTTCTCAGACGGTTTAAGACTTTCTCAGACGGTTTAAGACGGTTTAAGACTTTCTCAGACAGTTTAAGACTTTCTCAGACGGTTTAAGACTTTCTCAGACAGTTTAAGACTTTCTCAGACGGTTTAAGACTTTCTCAGACGGTTTAAGACTTTCTCAGACGGTTTAAGACAGTTTAAGACTTTCTCAGACGGTTTAAGACTTTCTCAGACGGTTTAAGACTTTCTCAGACAGTTTAAGACTTTCTCAGACGGTTTAAGACTTTCTCAGACGGTTTAAGACTTTCTCAGACGCTTTAAGACTTTCTCAGACGCTTTAAGACTTTCTCAGACGGTTTAAGACTTTCTCAGACAGTTTAAGACTTTCTCAGATGCTTTAAGACTTTCTCAGACGCTTTAAGACTTTCTCAGACAGTTTAAGACTTTCTCAGACGGTTTAAGACTTTCTCAGACGGATGAAGACTTTCTCAGACGGATGAAGACTTTCTCAGAGCGTTTAAGACTTTATCAGACAGTTTAAGACTTTCTCAGATGCTTTAAGACTTTTTCAGACGCTTTAAGACTTTCTCAGACAGTTTAAGACTTTCTCAGATGCTTTAAGACTTTCTCAGACGCTTTAAGACTTTCTAAGACAGTTTAAGACTTTCTCAGACAGTTTAAGACTTTCTCAGATGCTTTAAGACTTTCTCAGACGCTTTAAGACTTTCTAAGACAGTTTAAGACTTTCTCAGACAGTTTAAGACTTTCTCAGATGCTTTAAGACTTTCTCAGATGCTTTAAGACTTTCTCAGACGCTTTAAGACTTTCTCAGACAGTTTAAGACTTTCTCAGACGGTTTAAGACTTTCTCAGACGGATGAAGACTTTCTCAGACGGATGAAGACTTTCTCAGAGCGTTTAAGACTTTATCAGACAGTTTAAGACTTTCTCAGATGCTTTAAGACTTTTTCAGACGCTTTAAGACTTTCTCAGACAGTTTAAGACTTTCTCAGATGCTTTAAGACTTTCTCAGACGCTTTAAGACTTTCTAAGACAGTTTAAGACTTTCTCAGACAGTTTAAGACTTTCTCAGAGCGTTTAAAACGTTCTCAGACTTCCTTAGACTGTTTAAGACTTCTGAAATGGTTCTCAGGTATCTTTAACCTCCTTATTTTTGGTCGGGTCGGCCTACCTGGCAGTGGAAGTTGGGGAAGGGGCAGATGAGTTTGCACATGCCGATGAAGAAGAGCGAGGGGAAGTTGGGGGGCATCATGTGGCGGTACAGGGGCGCCAGCAGCTGATCCTGGATCTGTAGCTTCAGCTGAGCGGCGTCCAGGTACGGGAAGCTGAAGACGTATCCGGTGCAGAACAGCAGGACGTCTGCAGGGCCCGAGGAGCCGTCCTGCAACAGGAAGGGTCCTCATTAAGGTTTCATACCTTTTGAGACTGGTAATGACGGATGGAAACGTCTTAAGATCTGTTAAGACCTTTTTAAGACTCTTTAAAGATCCTTTTTAAGGTTTATTAAGAATGTATAAGACTGTTTAAGATATCTTAAGACCATTTCAGACTCCTAAGGACCATCTGAATCCCTGGATCTTCACAAACTGGGTTAAAGTGCAGATTATTATTCCTGCTGCTGGTAGATTTCCTGACCTGGAAGCGAATGCTGCCGTCTCTCTCGACCGCCTCGACTAAACTGGCCTCCTGGATCCCGTCAGGAAGAGGGAAGGTGAACGGAGGACCGGAGAAACTCAGACGCACCTGCACACAAAACAAACCAGAGAAAAGTCTTCATGAATTGGCCATTTGTGTCCCATTTTAGTGCCATTATTGTTCAATATTTGCACCATTTTGAGAGTGATATTGTGCCAGAACTTCTGTTTCAATTGGTAAGAAAATATTTCATATTCAGTTTCTATTTTTATAACTTTTTTATGCTATTTTATTTCAGAAATATGTTGGATTGTTTATTTCTAGTGTCTTAATTTCTCTTATGTACATTCCCGTGTTTGTTATGCTTACATTTTCCAAATTGGGATCAATAAAGTACTAATCTACCTATCTATTTAAGCAAATGGTAAAATATGAAATGTCAGATATCAGGACCTATAAAATAAATACTATTTCTGCAGATGTACTTTAAATAGTGCATTCTTAGTTTGATTTGTGCAATGCTGAAATAAGACCTGGATACAGGACAGTTTTGGTTGTTAAACATGAGCCTCTATTAACTTCTAATCATGGAGAACGTTCTGTTAGAAGTTGTATTCTTTAAAAACGCGGTGATTAGTTTATATTCAAATTAACATTCTGGGTATTCTTTTCTTTTACCCTTATCTGGGGAATATTTCTTAACTGAATCTAAGCAACTGCCCCACAAACATCATTTTTCTTCACATTAATCCACATTAATCCACTGAAGTTTGTCACCTGAACTCAATGTTTTTGTTACCTGGGCTCCAGCGTTAGCCAGCTCCATGGAAATATCCAGTCCTGAAGCTTTTGCTCCCAGAACGATGACGGTCTTCCCTGAGAACGACTCAGCAGATCTGTACGAGTGACTGTGGAGCACCTGTCCTGCTCAGAGAGGACTGTTAGCATAGCTTAGCATGAAGACTGGAATCAGAGGGGACTGTTAGCATAGCTTAGCATGAAGACTAGAAGCAGAGGGGACTGTTAGCATAGCTTAGCATGAAGACTAGAAGCAGAGGGACATTATTAGCATAGCTTAGCTTAAAGACTAGAAGAAGAGGGGACTGTTAGCATAGCTTAGCATGAAGACTAGAAGCAGAGGGACATTATTAGCATAGCTAAGCTTAAAGAAAGCGTCTTTGAGCATTAGGAAAAGCACTATAAAAATCCCATGTATTATTATTATTATTATTAAAGACTGGAAGCAGAGGGACATTATTAGCATAGCTTAGCATAAACACTGGAAGCAAAGGGACATTATTAGTATAGCTTAGCTTAAAGACTAGAAGAAGAGGGACATTATTAGCATAGCTTAGCTTAAAGACTGGAAGCAGGGGGGAAATATTAGCCTAACTCAGCTTAAAAGTTGGAAGCAGGGCAACTGTTAGCATAGCAGGGGGAAGCTGTTAGCCTAGCTTAGCACAAAGGTTGGAAGCAGGGGGAAGCTGTTAGCCTAGCTTAGCACAAAGGCTGTTAGCAGGGGGAAATTGCTAGCATAGCTCCATCAAAAATAGCCATCAGAAATGTTGTATTTTCACTGAATTAGTTTAAATTTAATTTATTAAATTACCTTTAAAGTTCTCCATCCCCGGTATGGTCGGGATGTTAGGAACAGAGTAATGCCTTAAAAACAAAAAACAACACTTAAAATGAGACAATACTGAACTTTGGCGACACCTAGTGGCAGCAGGAGGTAAAGACACTTAACAATTTAAGAAATAATAACGTGATACGTTAAATGAAGTACGGAAATACATAAGAAAAAGGAAAAGATAATCCTAAAAATGGTTTGAAACAGTTTAACCAACTTCAGTCATAATCATAACTACCAAATATGTTTGTTTATATGTATATATTGTCCTTTATATATATAAAAAACAACAATATAATTATGTTCTGTGTACTTAGTGGGGCAAACATGAGAAAATGTCTCAATCTAGGAAAAATTGTAAAATAAATAAATACATTTTAAGGATTTTATTCAACCCTGATCTTAATAGCTTTCAATGGGAATACACACGTTATCATTATACGCTGATGTACACTTAGTTAATGTAAGTTATCCGCATAAACAGCAAAAAATCATGTCAACATTAAAATTAAAAAGCCCAAAAAGTCCCGAGTGATGCAGACGGGTTAAATGCAGATTTCATCACATCTCACCCGGAGCAGACGAAGATGGAGTCGAAGGTTTCTGTTTTCTGAAGACCGGAGGAGTCACAAGACGTCACCTCCCACGTCGTCTGTTCATTGTTTTCCTCCAACGCCAAAACAACAGGCGTCACCTTCTCCACCGCTGTGTTAAACTGAAGAACAACAGAGAGGAAGATAAACACAAAGCTAAAACAGAGCTTCAGGACTGTGGTGTTTCTGTGTTGGTCCCTGAAGGCAACATCTGCCTGCTTCTGTTGGTCCCTGAAGGCAACATCTCCCTGCTTCTCTTGGTCCCTGAAGGCAACATCTCCCTGCTTCTCTTGGTCCCTGAAGGCAACATCTCCCTGCTTCTCTTGGTCCCTTAAGGCAACATCTCCCTGCTTCTCTTGGTCCCTGAAGGCAACATCTCCCTGCTTCTGTTGGTCCCTGAAGGCAACATCTCCCTGCTTCTGTTGGTCCCTGAAGGCAACATCTCCCTGCTTCTCTTGGTCCCTGAAGGCAACATCTCCCTGCTTCTGTTGGTCCCTGAAGGCAACATCTCCCTGCTTCTGTTGGTCCCTGAAGGAAACATCTCCCTGCTTCTCTTGGTCCCTGAAGGCAACATCTCCCTGCTTCTCTTGGTCCCTGAAGGCAACATCTCCCTGCTTCTCTTGGTCCCTGAAGGCAACATCTCCCTGCTTCTGTTGGTCCCTGAAGGCAACATCTCCCTGCTTCTCTTGGTCCCTGAAGGCAACATCTCCCTGCTTCTCTTGGTCCCTGAAGGCAACATCTCCCTGCTTCTCTTGGTCCCTGAAGGCAACATCTCCCTGCTTCTCTTGGTCCCTGAAGGCAACATCTCCCTGCTTCTCTTGGTCCCTGAAGGCAACATCTCCCTGCTTCTCTTGGTCCCTGAAGGCAACATCTCCCTGCTTCTCTCGGTCCCTGAAGGCAACATCTCCCTGCTTCTCTTGGTCCCTGAAGGCAACATCTCCCTGCTTCTCTTGGTCCCTGAAGGCAACATCTCCCTGCTTCTCTTGGTCCCTGAAGGCAACATCTCCCTGCTTCTGTTGGTCCCTGAAGGCAACATCTCCCTGCTTCTGTTGGTCCCTGAAGGCAACATCTCCCTGCTTCTGTTGGTCCCTGAAGGCAACATCTCCCTGCTTCTGTTGGTCCCTGAAGGCAACATCTCCCTGCTTCTCTTGGTCCCTGAAGGCAACATCTCCCTGCTTCTCTTGGTCCCTGAAGACAACATCTCCCTGCTTCTGTTGGTCCCTGAAGGCAACATCTCCCTGCTTCTGTTGGTCCCTGAAGGAAACATCTCCCTGCTTCTCTTGGTCCCTGAAGGCAACATCTCCCTGCTTCTCTTGGTCCCTGAAGGCAACATCTCCCTGCTTCTCTTGGTCCCTGAAGGCAACATCTCCCTGCTTCTGTTGGTCCCTGAAGGCAACATCTCCCTGCTTCTCTTGGTCCCTGAAGGCAACATCTCCCTGCTTCTCTTGGTCCCTGAAGGCAACATCTCCCTGCTTCTCTTGGTCCCTGAAGGCAACATCTCCCTGCTTCTCTTGGTCCCTGAAGGCAACATCTCCCTGCTTCTCTTGGTCCCTGAAGGCAACATCTCCCTGCTTCTCTTGGTCCCTGAAGGCAACATCTCCCTGCTTCTGTTGGTCCCTGAAGGCAACATCTCCCTGCTTCTCTTGGTCCCTGAAGGCAACATCTCCCTGCTTCTGTTGGTCCCTGAAGGCAACATCTCCCTGCTTCTCTTGGTCCCTGAAGGCAACATCTCCCTGCTTCTCTTGGTCCCTGAAGGCAACATCTCCCCTGTTTCTCTTGGTCCCTGAAGGCAAACATCTCCCTGGTTCTCTTGGTCCCTGAAGGCAACATCTCCCTGCTTCTCTTGGTCCCTGAAGGCAACATCTCCCTGCTTCTCTTGGTCCCTGAATGGCAACATCTCCCTGCTTCTCTTGGTCCCTGAAGGCAACATCTCCCTGTTTCTCTTGGTCCCTGAAGGCAACATCTCCCTGCTTCTGTTGGTCCCTGAAGGCAACATCTCCCTGCTTCTCTTGGTCCCTGAAGGCAACATCTCCCTGGTTCAATGCAAATGTGATTTTGGATTATGTTGGAAAATAATCTCTGTGTCAAACGGATGTTTATGATTCTTACACGTTTAGTTCAGCGAGATAATCTCCACATATCAACACCACTTTATGCCGACTCATGTTGGGGTTTCTTAGACTTATAATGCCGACTCAATTCAGGGTTTTAGGACTCATTATGCTGACTCATGTTGGGGTTTTATGACTCATTATGCTGACTCATGTTGGGGTTTTAGGACTCATTATGCTGACTCATGTTGGGGTTTTATGACTCATTATGCTGACTCATGTTGGGGTTTTATGACTCATTATGCTGACTCATGTTGGGGTTTTATGACTCATTATGCTGACTCATGTTGGGGTTTTATGACTCATTATGCTGACTCATGTTGGGGTTTTAGGACTCATTATGCTGACTCATGTTGGGGTTTTAGGACTCATTATGCTGACTCATGTTGGGGTTTTATGACTCATTATGCTGACTCATGTTGGGGTTTTAGGACTCATTATGCTGACTCATGTTGGGGTTTTAGGACTCATTATGCTGACTCATGTTGGGGTTTTATGACTCGTAACGCTGACTAATTTCAGGGTTTTAGGACTCGTAATGTTATCTGATTACCCCAGTATCCATTTCTTTGCAAGCCTGCAGAGTTCAGTATGGTAAATCTAATATAAGTTGAAATACTAACAGGTTTTTCTGTATTTATTTTGGATGGCATGAACTCACGCGGATGTGAGGCCGGATGCCATGGCTCTGGCAGTATTTCTCCAGGTAGTTCTGGACCTCGTGGTGCGGCAAAAAGCTGCTCAGCTTGGAGTCGAAGGGGAAATCAGGAAACATCATCACCTCTTTGGGAAGATTCGTCCTGCGGGAGGAGAAGGAGGCTTTAAAACTCAAATGTAAACAGGACCGTGAGTGTTTTATGAAGTTTCCTGAACATGGTGTTCCTCAGGGAAACCTCCTCGGCCCACTTTAGTTTTCTTTTCGTAACACCAACAATTTTCAGGGTTTTAAGACTCATAATGAGAAGTAAAAAGTACAGGTATTTGGGTTCAACATGTAAGAAGTAGAAAGTACAGGTATTTGAGTTCAACATGTAAGAAGTAGAAAGTACAGGTATTTGTGTTCAACATGTAAGAAGTAGAAAGTACAGGCAGGGTTTCCCACACATAGACTATACCTGGGCGGGCCGCCCAGGTATATTAACGGCCGCCCAAGTATATTTCGCGACCCATTTAGTTTTTTTTTTTTTTTTTTTTATAATTTTTTTTTTTTAATGTTTTTTTTTTTTTATTCGTCCGTGACCACGACGCCATCTGCGATCGATTAACTTGTAGACAATGATCCCTCGCTCCCTTGCTCTGATCTCGCCTCCTTCTGGCCTGTTAAGTGGCCTGCCTCACACAGGGTGACTGGCTGTCCACATGATGCCGACATGGCCACTGTCATACAGATCATAAATCAAAGCCCTTGATTGGTCTCTGTGTGTCATTCAAGCTCGGGATAACCTCAGCTCAGGTGAGGTAAAGGACTCTCTGAGTGTTTAGATAGTTAACTTAGTCTAAGTTCTCAGTGGGTCTCAAACGGTGTGGTCACCATTTATGTAAACACATATTTCCATTTGAGAGGATAGTGATTGGTCTAATGCAGGGGTGGCCAACCCGCGGCTCTCGAGCCGCATGCGGCTCTTTGCCTAGTTTCATGCGGCTCTTCAGTTCATATCGAATTTTATATGTGTGAGTTTGGGGGAGAGACACTGACTCCTGACTAGTGTTGCACGGTGTACCAATACTTGAAAGGTACCGCAATACCCTGCCGTTAAAAACGTTACGATTCCTCCGTTTCATTAGTAACGGTACTTTAAGAATGACGGAGAAAAGTACTCCGGTGAGAAAGCGCTGTTTTAATAAGAGCCGTGTGTGTTCAGCGCTCTGCTTCCACTCCCTGCACTGCAGCCGTGCCTGCTGTCCCGCCCCTCTCAAGCACGCTCTAAGTCCCTCCCCTCTCTCGTGCACGCGCTAGCTGCCAGAGTATGTGAGAAAACGAGAAGCATGGCTGCAAGTGGGAGTGCAACTGCCGCTGCGCCTCGGCCTGTCTGTGAGACATGTATTAATTTTATTTAATACGAATTCTTGTCATTTATTTTATTTATTGTTCTCATTGTTTAAAAGTTTGTGTTATGGTTCTGGTGTGAAATAAAGCACACTAATTACATTTAAGACTGTTTCCCTTTTTTAAGAAAAGCATCGAAAAATAATCGGAATCGCAATTCTTGACTTGGTATCAAAACCAAAATGTTGGTACCGTGACAACACTACTCCTCAGAGTTAAACCTAATATTTAGTAGGTCTGTTAAGTATCGAATGCTGATCATTCTGACGTAATTTGTCCGGTCAAAGTTGTTTGGGCTCGGATAAAATCGCTCCGTTACTTTCGTCCCGTGTTACTTTCGTCCCGGCTCTCCCTACGTGTGTATGTGTGGTGTCATGTGTCAGTATGAGAGGATGACAGCGCGTCTAATTTTGATGTGGCCCAAGAGCCAATCACAATAATACCTGCGATGCAGTGAACCAATCACCTTTGAGGGGGGGGAAACCTATCGTTGATTAAACACTATCCAGTGTTTCCCCTACCATTGTCTTGGAGGGGCGCTGCTTCCCGCCAACGGAGCCCCGCGCACCCCCTGAAATTCAAGGTGTTTAAAAAAAATATATAATTGTATTTCTTTTAAATATATTATATAGCACCAAATAGCAAATAATCTATAACTACTGTCACTTTTCACATTGAACATGAGCTCTTTTATTAAATAAACTAAACGCTTTCATTTCAAGTTGTGAGTTTAGTGTTTTTGACCCTAAGAAACACTGATGCATTAATCAATAACAATAATCCACAGCTCCTCTCTCTGCTCCAGAGGATTTAAAAAAAATATATCCCAATGCCACAAAAATGCATCAGTGACATGGTTGAAATCTTGTCTCCAGAAAACAAAAAACTGAAACAAGCGGTATCAGTGTGTTTGATGTGGCTCTTTGCAGTAACATAGAAAAAATGTGGCTCTTAACCTCTGACTGGTTGGCCACCCCTGGTCTAATGGAGAGTGAGGTGGGCTGAAGATCGGAAGGCTGTGAGTTCAAATCCCGCCAGGAACACCACCACTAGTGTGCCCTTGAGTAAGGCACTTAGCCCTTAGTTACTCCAGGGAGAATGTCCCTGTAATCGGTCATTATAAGTTGCTTTGGATAAAAGCGTCAGCTAAATGAAATGTAATGTGATTAGTAAAATATGCATGAATAAATAAATAAAAAGTTAACTAGGTGAAAAAAGGTAAGATACACTTTTAAAACTTGTTGAGAGAAAACTAGTCTTTGCTGCTGCCTCAAAGAGGAGCAGGGGGAGAGGATGGAGAGGGGGGAGAGGAGGGAGAGGAGGGAGAGGAGGGAGAGGAGGGAGAGGAGGGAGAGGAGGGAGACAGGACAGGAGAGGAGGGAGAGGAGGGAGAGGAGGGAGACAGGAGAGGCTGATTCAGGAGCACAGACACACTCACAACTATAAATGAACCAAAACTAAATTAATAAACAAGTTTCAGTGTTTTTTCCATATTGGAAATGGGATGTTGTTGGTTATGGCCATGATTTTATGATTATTGAAATGTATACAGTTCTGTTAAATATAGGTGTTTCCATAGATCTAGTCTCTTTATTTTCCCCTCAAAATGCACCAGATTGATGCATTTAACTCCAAAATAAAAAATAAAATCTTACCGGGGGGCATGCCCCTGGACCCCCCTAGAGGATTTGAGGTCGACCCCCACTAAAAATCACATGGATAGGTTCCTAAATACATTAATAAATACATTAATTTTTTTTAAATAGTAACCCATTTCCATATGTTCATGTGTGGGTAGTAGATTTAAACTATAGGGCTATCATTATAGGCCCTGCCTGTACCTGTTCGCTCTGCCATCGCGTGAAGGGTCTGCTAACAAGCGACCAACAGAAAGGTTAATGTTGTTTCACGTCACCTCAACCCCCCCCGCTACCACCACCCCCCAAAGTATATTTCAGATCTGTGGGAAACACTGGCAGTTAATGGACCAGCACCAGAGGCGTTCCCATACACACAGGCGTTGGAGCTGTTCTTCATGAAATCCCAGAAGGATGAAGTGCTCTGACAAACAGTGCCATCTTTGCGCAAAATGATTATACCGGAATGAAAAGTCAATAAATAATGTTGTTAAAACTTTTTTTTTTTTTCGCGCACCCCCCCCCCCCCCCCCCCTCCTTGCCACCACCCGCCCAAGTATATTTCATATCTGTGGGAAACACTGACAGGTATTTGGGTTCAACATGTAAGAAGTAGAAAGTACAGGTATTTGAGTTCAACATGTAAGAAGTAGAAAGTACAGGTATTTGAGTTCAACATGTAAGAAGTAGAAAGTACAGGTATTTGAGTTCAACATGAGACAAGTAGAAAGTACAGGTATTTGAGTTCAACATGTGAGAAGTAGAAAGTACAGGTATTTGAGTTCAACATGTAAGAAGTAGAAAGTACAGGTATTTGAGTTCAACATGTAAGAAGTAGAAAGTACAGGTATTTGAGTTCAACATGTAAGAAGTAGAAAGTACAGGTATTTGAGTTCAACATGTAAGAAGTAGAAAGTACAGGTATTTGTGTTCAACATGTAAGAAGTAGAAAGTACAGGTATTTGAGTTCAACATGTGAGAAGTAGAAAGTACAGGTATTTGAGTTCAACATGTAAGAAGTAGAAAGTACAGGTATTTGAGTTCAACATGTAAGAAGTAGAAAGTAAAGGTATTTGGGTTCAACATGTAAGAAGTGGAAAGTACAGGTATTTGTGTTCAACATGTGAGAAGTAGAAAGTACAGGTATTTGAGTTCAACATGTGAGAAGTAGAAAGTACAGGTATTTGAGTTCAACATGTAAGAAGTAGAAAGTTCAGGTATTTGAGTTCAACATGTGAGAAGTAGAAAGTACAGGTATTTGAGTTCAACATGTAAGAAGTAGAAAGTACAGGTATTTGAGTTCAACATGTGAGAAGTAGAAAGTACAGGTATTTGAGTTCAACATGTAAGAAGTAGAAAGTACAGGTATTTGAGTTCAACATGTAAGAAGTAGAAAGTACAGGTATTTGAGTTCAACATGTGAGAAGTAGAAAGTACAGGTATTGTGTTCAACATGTAAGAAGTAGAAAGTACAGGTATTTGAGTTCAACATGTGAGAAGTAGAAAGTACAGGTATTTGTGTTCAACATGTAAGAAGTAGAAAGTACAGGTATTTGGGTTCAACATGTAAGAAGTAGAAAGTACAGGTATTTGTGTTCAACATGTAAGAAGTAGAAAGTACAGGTATTTGTGTTCAACATGTAAGAAGTAGAAAGTACAGATATTTGGGTTCAACATGTAAGAAGTAGAAAGTACAGGTATTTGAGTTCAACATGTAAGAAGTAGAAAGTACAGGTATTTGAGTTCAACATGTAAGAAGTAGAAAGTACAGGTATTTGAGTTCAACATGTAAGAAGTAGAAAGTACAGGTATTTGTGTTCAACATGTAAGAAGTAGAAAGTACAGGTATTTGAGTTCAACATGTAAGAAGTAGAAAGTACAGGTATTTGAGTTCAACATGTAAGAAGTAGAAAGTACAGGTATTTGAGTTCAACATGAGACAAGTAGAAAGTACAGGTATTTGAGTTCAACATGTGAGAAGTAGAAAGTACAGGTATTTGAGTTCAACATGTAAGAAGTAGAAAGTACAGGTATTGAGTTCAACATGTAAGAAGTAGAAAGTACAGGTATTTGAGTTCAACATGTAAGAAGTAGAAAGTACAGGTATTTGAGTTCA